AGATTAATTAAAAGGAATATAGAAAAACAAACTGCTCTTGGCAAAACTACCTCTGGAAATACTCCTATAATTTGTAAAGGACAGGTTTCTGGATAGACTGTAGAAATAATCATTGATAGTAAGTAAAGGAATAGTAGATGATATATCTGTTTATTTGGGAGACGTAGTTGTTTCTGCTAATATGGAAATAATTGATACCAATGCCTATAATTTGGTTCTTGGCAATGACTAGCTACATAAAGCAAAAGCTATCATTGACTTTAATCATCCTAAAATTACTGTTAGTAATAGTAATAGAACAGCTGAAATTCTTTGTCGCAACACTACTCAAATGAATATTAGAAATGAAAATGACAACAATAATAATGGTAACAATTATGATAATAACAATGATAATGAGGATAATAATAATGAGGATGATAATGATTAGGAGGATGATGATGAAGTAAATGAGGATGAAGATTTTATCACAAGTTATAGTTTAGTTGTCTCAAAAGATGAAAATCCTGACCAACAATTTTATCAAATAAGCCCAACTAGAATTGAAATTGATAATGAATCCTACTCTTGGAAAGAGTATAAACACTTTGAATATCAATTTCATCCTTTATATACTAGCCAACAAGATTAATCTAAACATACAAATTGGTTCTCTGGACCTAACAGAGAATGTTGGTATAGAAAAATACTCTTAAATTCTACTGATATTTGTGAACAATGTCATAATGAATATAAACGTTGGGAGACTTTACAAATAATTTCTCTTAAAGAAATTCAAAGAGCTCAGTTATTTTTGATACAAGGTGGTTCTAAGGAGTTAGAAAATAATGAAAATAAGGAACATATTGAACGGATTATAACTAAATTTCCTCAAATTGTTGCAAAGGATATTGATTAGTTAGGAAAAACAGAAATAGTTAAACATAAAATTAATACTGGAAATATCTCTTCTATTAAACAACATCCCTATAGAATGTCTTCTAAATATGAAAAATTTATCAAGGAAGAGTTAAACAGATTACTTCAACAAGGGCTCATTAAAGTTTCTTATAGCTCTTGGACCTCTCCTGCATTGGTTGTTGGCAAAGCTAATAGAAAGTTTAGACTTGTAATTGATTATCATCAATTGAATAAAGTAACTAAACCAGATGCATACCCCCTATCTCGTATTGCTGATATAATTGATACTTTGGCTCATAGTCAATACTTTTTAACTCTCGATCTCACCTCTGGATTCTGGCAAATAGGAATGATGTCACCTCCTAATTTTTATTAATCTATATTTTCTATCTATTTTCTATTATATAAAATCGTTTTTACATATATTAT